AAAACAGAGACATCCGACGTGGCAATTAACTGTATTTAAAATCCGGTTTTGCGTCCGAATCCTTTTTGTTCTGATTCGAAAGAAGAAAAAAAACTCAGTGCTTTGCTTTCGAGCCTTTGGATAGCGAGCGAGGTGAGATTCCAAAGTCTCGTCCTTTGAACACTGTGTGAGCTTCTTCTCTTTGATTTTAGCCGTTGAATCTTTGGAGCTTCGTTTGAATTCTCATGTGGGTTTTTGTTTTTGGGTTTGAATGTTATTTTGCTTCTTCAAGTCGCGTTTAGGGTTTCTTTTTCCACCTTCTCTCTGATTTGCGAATCTGTTGTGTTAGTTTAGCTTTGATAATTTGAGGCTCGAGAGAGAGAGACTAACCTCGATTTGTCTTGGATTTCTCTGAGTGGTTGTGGGTTTAGAGTATTGGTTTGGATCTAAATCTACGTTTTTTTCCAGAAAGTATTCGAATTTAGGACTGAATCATTAATAACTTCGAAAATTGAAACCCTTTTTTTCATTCAGTTGTGTAGAAAGATGGAATTTTTACATGTTGCTAAGCGTTTGTTCCGTATTCTTGCACATTCAGTTTCCTTGTTCTTGTGTTGCTATGAGTTTGGAATTCTCGATTGATATGTTTTTCACAGCCTTTCGGTGTTTCTTGTTTTAGAGATCTACTCAACGATGGGGGAAGACGATACAAAAGTCGCTGTGGAGCCATCCGCAAATGGGACTAGTTCTCTTCAAAAGGCACCAGATGCAGAAGCGCAGGGTGGCGAGGAAACACATGAACTTAAGAAAGATGAGGATGCTGGACCGGAGAAGATGGAGATAGATGCTGAGATCAAGCAACATGAAGAAAAAGATAAGAAACTTGAGACCGAGAAAACAGACGACAAGGCTGATCAAATGGATGAAGACAACAAGGTCAAAGCTGATGATGGTGTTTCTGGAGAGGAAGATACGGTAATGAAGGAGAACATGGAGTCTGATGACAAGAAAGACATCAAAGAAGGTGCTGGAAATCAAGGGATGGCCAAGGTAGCTACTACTCAAGAGAGAACTGAGAAAGAATCAGAGGATGGAGGGAAACTAAACGGAGACAAGCAAGGGAATAAGGAAGACATCAAAGAGGAAGACAAGGTTGTCGGTGGAGATGAGGGTGAAAATAACAAAGACGAAGAGCCAAAGGAAAAGAATGAGATCCAACTGGCTGAAGACGGGAAAGAGAAGGAAACAAACAAACAAGGGGAGGAAGAAGAAGAGCATGTGGAGGCAGACGCTGAGCCGAAAGTGGAAGATGAAAAAGCAGAGAGTAAAGGCGGCAATGAAAATGAGATAGATGAAAGCAAGGATGAGAAGGAAGATGAAAAAGAAGAGACCATGGATGATAAGGAAGATGAAAAAGAAGAGAGCAATCATGACAAAAATGAAGATACCAACAAGTCTAACAAGCGAGGGAAAGGGAAGACTGACAAGGTTCGTGGAAATACAAAGAGTGAGGAAGATAAGAAGGATATTGAACCTAGGACTCCTTTCTCTGATCGCCCTGTCCGCGAGCGGAAATCTGTTGAAAGGCTTGTCGCACTGGTTGATAAAGATTCTTCAAAGGAATTCCAAGTCGCAAAGGTTTGCCAATACTTTCCTATGTTTGATCTCTACAGTGTTTCATTTGTTATATCTTTTTAAGATTCACTTTTGGATATTGCAGGGAAAAGGAACACCTCTCAAAGATATTCCCAATGGTATGTTCATATTCTAAATATCTATCTTTAAATCTCCTCCCAGGCTATTCTGTCATTGTGTGGAACAGTTTTTTTTTTTTTACTTAGCTTTTCCCAGGGTTATTGCTAGAGCACATAGTCCTTTTCCTAAACTGGATTTTATAAGTCGTATCTTTCTCCGCAGTTGCGTACAAGTTATCCAGGAAGAAGTCTGATGAAGTTCTCAAGTTGCTACACACGATTCTATTTGGTGGGAGAAGAGGAAAAGTGAGCATCTCTTTGTTCCCTTATATGTTCTGCCACCTCGTTCATTAGAAGATTCTTTTGAGTTGCATCCATTGCTATCCTTACGATTACAGAGTGACTGCTAATCATGTTTGTATGTGCCTCGATTTTCTTGCTTTAACAGGCTGCTCAGATCAGGACAAATATATTGCGCTTTTCTGGTTACACCTGGCAAGGAGATGAGGTGGGCAACATAACACATCAAGACTGTTCCACATATGCTTGTCTCATTTTCGTTGCATGATTTTTCTCAAATTATATTTGGCAGGAAAAGGCAAAAGATAAAGCAAAAGAAAAGCTTGACAAATGCAACAAAGAAAAGTTGCTGGAGTTTTGCGATATCTTTGACATATCAGTTGCCAAGACTACAAGAAAGAAGGTTATTATGACTATTCGTTTCTAAGTTCTCATTCCTCAAAATATCTTTTTCTCTGTTAGGGGTTAATGTCACTGTATTCTTGCTTGGCGACTGACCGTCCGGTAGTTTTTCTCAAATATAGGAAGATATTGTTGCGAAGCTGTTTGAGTTTTTGGAGAAACCTCATGCGACAACTGATGTTCTAATTTATGAGAAAGAGAAGGTAACAACATTTGTTCTAGAAACCCTTTCGTTCTACAGTCAGAGGTTGGAATGTTTTTGTGCATATAACAATTTTTTATGTTGTAAAGGGAGCAAAGCGCAAACGAACTCCGAAGAAAAGCTCACCGGCTGCTGGAAGTTCATCTTCAAAACGATCTTCAAAGGTATTATACTCAATAGCTTTGAACTGATTAATGCATGTGTAGCTGTTTTTCATGACCCCTGTGTCCTTGTGTCTGGTCCAGGTACCTGAAATCTGATTAATTTATTTGTGTCTTCTTTGCAGAGCCAGAAAAAGACCGAGGAAGCAACAAAGACTAACAAAAAGAGTTTACCTCANTCGGATGATGAGTCT